TTCTTCATGAGAGACACAGAGAGAGGAAGAGACAGAAGCAGGCTCCCTCCAGGAGCCTGATGTGGGACTCAATCCCAGGACCCCAGGACGTCGGCATCACAACCTGAGCCAAAGGCAGACGCTCAACCACTGAACCACCCAGGTGCCCCTGGACTTCCTAGCTTCTAAGTGAGTGTGCTTTCCACACCATGACCAGAGTGCTCTGTGTTTAGAGTGTGAGTTCAAGACACTGGCTGCCCATGAGAGGCACCTGGGCAGCTTCCACAAAATTCCAGTGCCTGCCTGACCTCTTTCTGGGGTGGCTGAAATCAGAATCTCAGAGGTGGGGTGGGATGGGGGGGCCTGGGCATCAGGATCTTCTCAGGTTGCCTTTGGAGAAACTTGTGCACCCCCAGGGTTGGTCTTCCCTCCAGGCCCGGCTCTTAGAAACAGGCCCTGGCCCAATCTCTTCTGCCAAGCCAAGCTGCCTGCGAGGTCCGTTGGTGCCTCCCCAGCTCAGAAGGATGTTCAGTTGTTTTGCTGAGTAACTTCCCCAGGGAGCTGCTGCTGGGGCCCAATCCAAGAAGCTGAGGTCTCCTGGGGCCTCCTGAGAGGAGGTGTGATCAGGAGGGCGGGAGGCAGGAGGCCCTGACAAACAGACAGCAAACAGCTCAAAGGGGTGGCAGGCTGCATTTTATTCATCGTTAATTTAAACACCCTTCGACTCCTCTCTTGGAGTACTGCTCAGAAAAATAAATGTATTGTTTAAGAAACCCTGCAGGCTTGCCCCGCATGCTCTAACCCCCCTCCTGAGAGAACACAGTAGCATAGAAAATGATTTGTGAAGCGAAAGGGAGCTTCCCTTGGGAGGGGGGAGAGGAAGAAGAGGCTGAAGGAAAGAGGAAAGAGGGGGTCTCGGGCCAGGTTAGTACAGAAACCTCATCGCTTCTCAGCACTTAATGAGGTGCCTGAAGGTGCCAGAGCTGCTGGGTGCGGGGCGGGGGTTGGGGGGGCACGGGTCCAGGCCCCCCGAGTCTGTCCTGGCTCAGGGATGGTTTCAGCAGCCCTTCCCCTACCCCAGCCCGCAGTGTGCAGCCTCCAGCGCCGCCGCGATGAGCTCGCCGTACAACAGCCCTGCGACATCGAGAAGCCCCGGCGCCTCTTCTGGACTCAGAAGGGCCCTAAGCAGTCTGCCTGGCTGTGCTTTCCAGACAGTGTGCATGTGGAATTGTGCTTTTCATTTGTTAAGAATGTAAAAAGTTACAGTAAGACGGAACCGCCTGGCCCACAGCTCCCGTGGTCGCCACCCCTGTGGGCTCCCATCTGTCTTGATTCCCCAGAAGCCTCTCCTGTGGCTGGGAGGGCGCAGCCACCCTTACCGCCAAGCACACGGGAGGGCGTCTGCTAGGAGGCCTGTCTGAGGGATGGATGAGCCTGCGTAAATTTAGCAGCTATCTTCCACGGTTTGGCTTGGGTTTGGACGCTGGCTTCTATGTAAAACACAAATTCAAATTCATGCAAAGTGTACGTGAAACTCCCCCAAGGCGGAGAAGAATTTTCCAGGCCTTAGTAAATCTCCAGGGAGTTAAAAATGGGAAAGCTTTCTTTTCAACGTGATCCAGACTGGGATTTTTCCTTGGGGAAAGGGGGCTAGTAGCTCTTTGTAAGGCTGGTGTGTGTGTGTGTGTGTGTGTGTGTGTGTGTGTGTGTGTGTGTATGCGCTCACACGTGCCCGTGAAAGTACATATGATGCTATGATGTGTGAAGCTCCTGGGCAAATGCCCAGGGCTTTCTGGCTGAGGGCCTGACGCAGTCTGAGCCTTCTGACTCTTCCTTCAGGCCTCGGGGGGCTCTGGCTTTCAATCAGAGGACAGAGGAGCCTGACCACCTGGCCTCATTAGCAAGCAAGGCCATAAGGATGGCTTCTTTACCTGTCTGCTCATCTTGGAGAAGTCTCAGCTGCTCACTAAGACCTCTGTGTGGCCACAGCGAGTGGCAAGGGCTGCTTAGAGCCCTACAGACCCAGCCGGAGAGGGGTGAATATGGGCCTAAGGTGAGACAGTAACCCCAGGAGCTGGGGGTAGTTGCAGACGATAAGGAGCTACCAGCTGTGGGTCAGACTGGAGATCCCCACATGGTGGGGGAGGCCACAGCATCTAGGAGAATGGAACCTTTTCTTAGCCTGAGGTTCAGTAAAACCTGCACCAAAGAAAGGGGTCCCTATCAACATCATTATTCCCGAAATGACTACGGACCCCAGTTCTAGTTTTCAATGCTCAGCAGGATGCCAAATAAGCCTTTAGGCAGGGGTCTAGGTTCCAGCTATCCCCCTAACTTTGGAAGCCCAGCTTTTCCCCCCTGAGAAGCAGGCCCTGGCATTTGGGGCACTGAGCCTTTTTTTGCCTGAGGTGAAGGACAGTGATGTACTGAATTTGGGGTTTGGGGGGAGTTAGGGGGACAAGGGCAAAAATACAAGCACTCCTCTGGATCCTGAGCATACAACATTGTATGTTGGAGGGCTGGTGTTTCTCTGGAAGGTTGATGAGAGGGAAGGGTCCCCTCCCTGTCCTCATAAGCCAGGCTTATGGCTCCTTCAGAATCTTGCTCAAGCTGCTCACAATTGTCTCCTTCCAAAGGCAAAGCATAGAAGTGAAAACAGCTAAGGCTGCAGCATGAGCAATTTAGGATAGACTTTAGGAAGCACTGCTGACAGAGAAGACTGCCAAGGAAGGTTGTGAGTTTTTCTTCTCTGTAGGCAGGTCCTACTCCCTCCTGTCTGAGACGTGGTTCTGTGCGGTCCTGTGTGCTGGTCAGTGGGATCACTTGGACACCTCTTTGGCCTGTCCAGCTCAAAGAACCTATTTAACTAGGTCTTGAGCTTCCTGTGCTGGGGGCTCACTTCCTCTGGGTTGGCTGCTTGTTTTGCCTTTTATCAAGTCCTCATGGTCTACATGCCTCTGTCATGGGGATCTCCCACCCCCAAGTTATTGCTCGTTGCCTGGGTGACGCTTCTAATTGGATGCCTTTTCATCTTCCCTTCTTTTAGAGGGTTTGGCATGACACTACTTCTAGGTCCCATGAGAGGGCCTTGGCCTAGAGCGTGTGTGCCTCTCTGAGTGTGCTGTTACTGCAGTGTGACTGCAGCCATGGCTCGGGCGGGGCAGGGGTGTCGCTAGCTGGCCTGAGTGACAGTCACAGTGAATCCTGAGGTGTGGTTCTCTGGAAGCCTGCCCTTCTGGATTCAGCAAGGCTGACCTCTCTCCTGGCTGCTCTGCCTCAGTGACCTCACCTGAAGATTAGGACCTGTGTTTAGATCCCAATCCCAATTAGAAATTACCCAAAGTAGCTAAGAGAGTCGGTCAGATCCCAACATATTTTCCCCTTCTTGTCACCAACTGGAGGGGGCATATGGGAGATTGACATTCAAGCATGACTCCTGATGCTGTGTGCACATGTGTGTATGTGTGTGTGCATGCGCGTGTGTGTGTGCACATGTGTGTTCCAGGCACATATTCTTCCTTCACTGCCAGGGAGGGAGATTTCACGGCTTTTCATGCCTCTCAGGCATACAGTGTGAGGCGTCCTGGTGCTCTTCTAAGACTTCCTGTCAGAAGCTGTAGATATTGATGGGTCACACCGTGTCTGACTACGTTCTGGCGTCTGTCCTTGGGATCATCTTCTTAGATGAGGAAAATGGGCCAAAAGAGTATCGGTTCTTTACAGTCCAAGACAGGAACACTATCCTTTCAATGAAGGCAGCATCTGGTTAGTGACCCCTATGCAGCAATGGGTGGAGAACCAGTCCCTCAGCTTGAGGATCATCCAGCACAGAACTGATTCTAAAACGGCTTCCATCCACCCGTTCCATCAGCTCCCTCCCTCCCGCCTTCCTCCACCTCCGATACAGACTGTGCGTGGAGAAAACAAATTCACTTGATTGTCAGTGGGGGCCAAACAGGGTTTAGAATGGGATCTGTCCTCAAAACATTATGGGCTCTGGAGCCAAATTCTCTGACATTTGCAGGATGGCTGCTTTGGGTCCCTGGTGCTGCAGAGCCCTGACTCAGAAGGGGGTTCTGGAGGCTGCACTCTGCACCCTTAGGCTCTCTGAGAGGGGAAAAAGGAGCAGCTCAACGGGAGTCAAGAAACAAAATCCACAGCAACGAAGCAAGATTGCGCCTGAGAGGACTCAGACATTCCTTATTAGTAATGAAAAGCATTCCCAAGGACAACGCTGGTGAAATAAAGGAGGGTTGGGGGGGGGGATTCTGAGATGAGCCCCCAGCCTCAGAGATCAGCTGGGCTGAAGCAAAACAGGGCTCCTGCAGCCTGACTGCTCCCCTCCCTGCCGGCCACCCTGGGTTTCCGGCATTAAAGTAGCTGCCCTGTGTGCCGAGCCGAATGCAGGGACTCCAGGCTGAGAAAGGCCAGCTGCGCCCCTTACCATCCCAATTTCCAAATCTCGGGGAAACGCCACGGTCCGCGAGTCGGTGCTATGTTGCGTCTCATTGCATAATACTACACGGTTCTCCGTGTGTAGCGGCTGTCCTATTTATATACATCGGTAGGCAACATATGGCTCTCCCCACCCCCACCTGTCAAAACTGTGACTACATCACTTCTGACGACCAGAAGGAAGCTGCTAGGCTGGGCCAGGATTCTAAATGCTGCGGAGGTAATTCAGAGCCATGAGAAGTCGCACCATATGCTTTGGGGTTGCCGGCTGCTTGTGTGCATGGGGACGGGGTTTGGTGCCATCCGCAAGACCCAGGGACGCCCCCTCCTCGCGGCCGTGGGCGCACGGGGTGAGGGTCCAGGGCGCCGCTCCCTCGCTCCCTGGAGGGGAATCCGCTGGGGGCGGGGGCGGGGGGGGCGGAGCACGCGGTTCTTCAAGAGGGGACCCACGAGGACGACAGGCTCCCCCGAAACCTGCCCTGGATAACATCAGGCCTGGCCAAATAGTATTTCTTTTTTTAAAAAAAAAATTTTTTTTTTTTGGTTTGATTTTATTGGGTAAAGATTAAGAAAGCGCCAGCGTCTGCGAGAAGGAAGGCGGGCGGCGGCGGGGGCCCGCCGGCCCGGCCGGGGTCCGGGGTCCGGGGTCCGGGGCGCGGCCCGGCGGTCTACCTGGAGGCGCTGGTCTCGGCCAGCCGGTTGTTCATGATGCCCAGCGCGCCCACGCCGCCCGAGAAGCCGTTCTGGCGCGTGTGGACGCACGCGCCGCGCGGGTAGCCGTTGGCCGTCTCGGACAGCTGCTTCTGCAGCAGCGCCAGCGACACCTTGTTGGAGGCCGTGAGGTCGCGCATGGAGATGAGCTCGCCCGACAGGCGGCGGCCCTCGGCGTCGCTGTCGCGGGCCGCGGGGTCGGCGCCGAGCGCGGCCAGGCGGCGGCGCAGCCGCGAGCCCGGGGTGATGGCGTTGCGCCGGGCCAGGGGCGCGCCGGGCGCCGGGCAGCAGCGCGCGCAGCAGCGGCAGCTCAGCTTGCGCAGCATCCAGTTGAGCACCTGCTTGATGAGGATGGAGATGACGTTGAAGAGCGAGTAGATGCAGCACACGCCGAGCAGGATGAAGAGGAAGTTGCCCAGGCGGTAGAGCCCCTGGTTCCGGTAGGCGGCGTGCTGGCTGCTCACCAGGTCCCCGAAGCCGATGGTGCTGAAGGTGACGAAGCAGAAGTAGAGGGAGTCCACGTAGTCCCAGCCCTCCACGCTGGTGTACATGGCCGAGGCGCAGCACGACAGCAGCACGGCGAACAGGCCGAGGATGAGCAGCACGTGGTACACCGAGGGCTTCCAGCCCGCCAGGCCGTCGGCCTCCGCCAGCGCCGAGCCCGAGCCGCGCCGGAGGCTGGCGGGCAGCAGGCCGCTGCGGCGCAGCTGGCGCTCGCGGCAGGCGCGCATGATGAAGGCCAGCAGCGAGATGATGCGCTCCAGGAAGAGGTTGAAGAACAGGATGGTCCCGGCGCAGCCGAACAGCCCGTAGGCGATGAGGAAGGCCTTGCCGCCCACCGTGGCGGGGGTGGTCATGCCGAAACCTGCGGAGACAGGGCGAGGGTCAGCGAGGGTCAGCGAGGGTCAGCGAGGGCCCGGCGGGGGCCCCGGGGCAGGGCGCAGGGCGAACGCGGGTGCCGACGCGCCTCCGCCCCGAGGGGCATCACCCAGAGGAGGGGAACAGGCCCTGGGCGCGGTTTCCTGATGGGGTAGGGGGGGCAAGGCCTAAACTGATGGAGGAGATCTGTACATGGAAATGGGCGGGACAGGATGGTCACTAGGAAGGACCCATGAAATGAAACCACTACCTGGGTGCAGACCAGTGAGATAGCTGCTAAGCCACAGAGATGTCACCTGCTTTCCCATTCCTAATTTTTTTTTTTTTTTTAAGGTAACCGATGGCAAACGTGGGCCCACGTAGGACAGAATTCCATAAAGGCTTCATTTGTTTTTTTTTTTTTTTTTTTTTTGAGATTTTATTTATTTATTCATGAGAGACACAGAGCGAGAGAAGAGAGAGAGAGAGGCAGAGACACAGGCAGAGGGAGAAGCAGGCTCCATGCAGGGAGCCCAACGTGGGACTGGATCCTGGACCTCCAGGATCACCCCCTGTGCCAAAGACAGGCACTAAAACGCTGAGCCACCCAGGGATCCCCTAAAGGCTTCATTTTAACTGAAATTCCTAGGGACCAGGTAGAGTGTGTTCAGTCTGAGCAGATATGTGTGAGAGTCTCTGGAAGGGGGGTTATGAAACTGACAAAAAGATTGTTTGAGAATGAGCAGGCAACCTCCAGAGAGTGAGCTGGCTCTGCTGTGGAGCATCAGTTCCTTCTCCCCCAAGGACTGTCACCACCCTTGTTCAAAGGTTGTTGCCCTTCTTGCCCTTCTTGCCCCAGCGGGTCCTGTGCTGTCCTGTGTTGGGGGTCACTTTTGTCCTGGGAGGCCTGCCCTGTGCGGAGGCAGCTACCTAGTAGTTTGAATTCATAATTAAGTCTTAACTTGCCCACTTGGTCAAAGCAGAGTCTTTAAGGGAGATTCTTTATCAATGGATTTCTGCAGAAAGCTTGGCTTCCCACCAGTTTGCTAGGCCTTCCCGCCTGAGCTCTCAGCCTACTGCCAGCTCTGGTCTCTTTGTGGGACCCACGTTTGCCTCACTCTGGTTATAGAAGGGGTTTAATCTCTTGGCACAAAGATTCACTGCTACTTGCAGTCCGAGCTGGAAGTAGATCACAAATCGGAACAGCACCCTGGCACCTTTCAGCACCTACACAGCAGAAGTTCAGGGGTATCACTGTTAAATTTATGCCCCATGTCAGGAAGGCTGCCTGTGTGCTACCAGTGGGGTGAAGCCAGCCCTGGGAACTGGTGGAGGAGAGTTTTGTCTCACGTGGCTTACTCTTTCCTTCAAAAAGTCAGGGGAAAAAAAATTTTTTTTCGGTAATTCCTTAAGCCTATATACTAATCATTCTCTAGATTCCATGGAGGAAATCTCAATTGCCTGACCACAGTCTCATCTTATGCTTAATGATTTAAGTTAGGAGAAAAGCTTATGATGATACCCATGTTGAAGAAGATGAATTATATCCCTAGATACAGATTTTGGCCACAAGAGAGTAAAAAAACAAAACAACAAAAACCCAAAAAACAAAACTAAACTAAAACCACAGGAGCAGTGTAGCCAATTTAATAGAGGGATTTTTTTCCACACTTTAAAGCCAAACCCAAGGGGCACCTGGGTGGCTCAGTTGGTTAAGTGTCTGCCTTTGGCTCAGGTCATGATCAAGTCCTGTGGGGTTCCCTGCTCAGTGAGGAGTCTGTTTCTCCCTCTCCCTCTGCCCCTCTCCCGTTGCCCCTTCCCCCATAACATTCTCTCAAATAAATAAAATTTAAAAAATTACAAAAAAAATAAAGCCAAACCCACGTTCTTGGGTTCACAAAAAAAATCAGCTCTGAGTCTATATGGTTATATGTGGAGTGAAAGTGTTTGTATTTGTGTGTATGTGTGCACATTTATATAAAGTCCTAGATAGATGACCCAACTATCCAGCAACATAACTAAGTCACAGTCTGTTCATACAAGGAAATACTAGACAGCAATGAGAAAGCACAAACTACAACTACTTGTAATAATATGAATGAATCTCACAAAAAGAATGTTAGGGTGCCTGGGTGGCTCAGTCATTTAAGTGTCTGCCTTTAGCTCAGGTCATGATCCTAGAATCCTGGGATTAAGCCCCGGATCAGGCTCCCTTCTCAGTGGGAATCCTGCTTCTTCCTCTCCTTACCCCAGGCTCGTGTTCTTTCTCGCGTGCTCTCTCTCTCAAATAAAATCTTAAAACAAAAAATGTTACAGAAGCTGAACACAGAACACCTTCTGTATTAGTCCATTTCCAAAATTCAAAACCAAGCAAAATTTTTTTAGGGATGCATTGTTGGTTGGTCAAATTATAAGGAAAATCAGGAAGTATTTAAAGTTTTTATCTGAGTAATCTCTATACCCAACCAATGTAGGATTCGAACTCATGACCCCAAGATCAAGAGTCTGATACTCTCCTAACAACCAACCAGGTGCTCCCTCCTCCACCTTTTTAAGTTCTTATTTAAGGGAAGTAATTTCAATAAAAGAATTGGAATTTCCTGTGGGGGTGACAGGGGTAATAAATGGGAGGGGATACAGGGACTTCTGAGGGCCTGGAAATGTTAATCTGGTAGTGGTTACATGGGTGTTGTATAATTATCTGTGTGTTTTTGAGTTTGCTTCTTTTTGTATTATGATAAAAACTAAAAAAAAAAAAAAAAAGACTAGACTCTTAAGTGTAAGGGACCTTAATTCTGATCTACCTCTCACTATATAAGTGAGGGAGCAGAGGCAGAGGGGACATAACCTCTAGCTTGCTGGGGACAGATACCATACATACGTCCTGGCTTCTAGCCTGATCTTTAGACCATTCTACACTACACTGCTTCTACACACTGAGGAAAAACAGCACCTCTAATAAGGGATTCTTTTGCTAGATTCTGGAAGAAATGGGAAGTCCTGAGTCTGGAAAATTAACACTTGCCTGAGAGAACATCAAATGAGATTTTCCCAATCTTTAGGATTTTTAGCTGAAGTTTCAAATCTAAGAGTGATGTGTGGTATGTTATCCCATATTTGAAAGGGAAGTTCTAGATGCTTCTATGCTGGATTACTAGAAGATGAAAATGGGTCTGGTGACTAGCACCCCATACCCCCCATCTCCAGCCTATATGGAAAGGCTAGAAATTATCCAGGGATAATGGGAGATGGTCACGAAGTAGCAGAGCTGTTGTAGTAGAACGTGCTGTGTTATCCTGTACCCACCCCCAGGCCACGTGTTGGGGGTGCAGTTAAGAGCACCTCAGGCTGCAGACAGAGGAGAGCTTGCTCTTGCAGCTCTTGCCACTTGCAGAGGCTAGCAGAGCTGCAGACACAGGCAGGCCCAGCCAGGGCCACTCCACTGGATGGAGTATGGTGAGAGTTTTGAGAGAGCCAGAGGTATTTCCTAGAGTCTAAGATGTGCTGGAGAGTTTCTTTGGATGGAAGGCTGGCTGGAGGAGCTCACAGGGACAGGGGCAGGGAAGAGGGGAGCAGCCTGCACTTCCAATGCTTGTTGCATCAAGGATGTATGAGAGTGACAGGGTCGAGGGGATGTGCAGAAGGCAGCCAGATCTGAAGGGACTCTCCCCAAGAGGGTTGCTCCTGGATGGAGGGGCCCCTAGCAATAAGAGGCTAAGGGGTGGGGTGCTGGGAAGCATTCGAGGTACTCACAGGAGGTTGAATGGAGAGGGCACATCCACTGATAGAACAGTGTAGGGCAGTGGTCCCTGTGCCTGGTCTCCAAAAACCCATAAATGGGCCCCATGAAAGGGCATGGCTGTCCCAACAGTGCCCATTGCAGAGCCACTATCAATGGCTAAGAAAGGATTATAGTGGCACCAGTGATGTCAGACCAAGAGCAAACACAGATTGCTCCTTCTACACTGCAAGAAGGGAGAGGCTGAGCTTTGATTAGAAGTGAACTTGAAGGGGCGCCTGGGTGGCTCAGCGGTGGAGCGTCTGCCTTGGGCTCAGGGCGTGATCCTGGAGACCCGGAATCGGGTCCCACATCAGGCTCCCTGCAGGGAGCCTGCTTCTCCCTCTCCCTGTGTCTCTCTGCCTCTCTCTCTGTACATCTCTCATGAGTAAATAAAATCTTTAAAAAAAAAAAGAAGTGAACTTGAAGATTGAGTTTAGATCAGACTGGATATCTGAGGATGAGTTTCAATTTTAAAACTGCTGGTATTTAAAATAACAACTAATTGGAAAACTCTAGCATGTGCCCAAGATGTGAAGGGATCCAAAGGGAAGTCCTTTAAGACAGCAGATGAAGACGAGGCCATTTCCCTGGGTCAGCCCATTAAATAAACTGATTCCACCTGGATTCCCTTGCTGGGAGGAAGGCCGGCGCCACCCCTGCCCCTCCAGTGTCAGCCCCACAGAGCGAGGCACATCCCACTCAACAGACAGGAAGCCGTGGACCAAGGGGTTGAGTGGTGCCAAGACCCCACAGCATGGAAGGGTAAGGTGAGTCTGAAGCCCAGGTGTGCCAGTGTCCACCATCCACATCCTTCCCCCCACCCCACGTTGCCTTCTGAGGGCACTGCGGGGCCTCCATTCCTCCTAGAAAACCTAATTTCAATCTGGCAGCCTAGTGCTCTCATGTGGGGAGGCTGACCCTCTGTCATGCCCCCCAAGAGTCTTCTTTCCCCCCGTGGCTCTCTTTCTGGTGACCATTGCTGGGGAGAAGGGCCACTGCTCCTCCTCTATGGTTCCCATCAAGGTGGACTCTTCACCCCTCTTGTGGCACAGTGAAGATAAGATGGCTGTATAACCAGACTCGATCTGGGGCTTGGTTAGGGACAGTAGGCGGAATGCAATGCAGGGGGGACCTCCACTTTTGGCTAACAGACTGGCTGGTTGCCCACAGGCAGGGGACTCATTTGCCCCTTGGGGTCCTCACAGGACTCCCCTACCTGACCTAAC